TTTTTAAGCCCTGCCTCTAATGTACAGTGAATGTTGAGAACCATTTCAATATAGGAAATGTCTATCAGGGCTGCAGAATTCAGGGTCATATGCGGGAAGAATCAATAAGTTACCTGAGTAGTTGAATCACAACATATGTGGCTGGCAGAAATGGCTTCCTGTCAAGTTTGCCTGTAAACCTTGTTTGGTTTGCTAAACACCTTAGTAGAGAGGGTATAGTTTCACCTGCTGTCACTGGTGCTATGAGAAAAACCCTCCCAAAGCAGTTCACAGGATGCCAGTGAGTGGCACCACTGCCAGCAGCTGAGCTAAAACCATCCAGGTCATTTATTTCTCTGGCTCTGCCCTTCCAGTGTGTGGCCAAGTGCTGTTACTGATCAACACCGAAGGCTTGATCTTTCTAAGTATCCCTTCGTTCTTTCTGTCATCACTGCTGTGCTGTAGTTCTGGTACGGTTACTTCCTTTTTGGTCTCCCAGCCTGCAGGGGCCCTGCCTGTCACTCCATTCATATCCCACACTTCATCTAGAGGGATTTGTTAAAAAGTATGTCATTGAAGGATGTTGAGTCCAGTTGGCTTTGAGGAAACTAAAACAGGTTTTCAATAAACATTTGCTTATCCAAAACCTAAAGAAGTCATAATTTAAACTTTTAAAGTGAAAAAAGTAGATTTCTGGAGTTCTCCCCCAAATCATTATTATTTTTAAGCTTGGAGAAACTCCAGGCAAAAGGAGTATCTTAATGTGTATTTTTGTTTATCTGGTTAGCTAAATCTAAGGAAAAATTAAACACAATAAAGACAAAGTCAGTATGAATAAGGAAGAGGAAGAAGTCCGGGCTCATTTTCCTTTATATCATTTTAGATGTATTTACAATAAATAACTCCAAAAAGGATAGAAAAGTAGCACAGCCATGTTGCATTCTTCGCACATGTTGTGAGTCAGTTTTAGACTCAGCTTCTGAAATCTTGCTTCCCTTCAATGCCATCATTGAGCACTGTTTTTATTTTTGCTATTATTTCCTGTCCCTAAATGATGCTTGACAGTCCTTTGATGTTTTACTTATTAACTTTGACCACGTAGTTTAAAGGAAATTATAGAAACCTCAGGTATGGAAGACCACTAACAGGTCTCCCCTTCTCAAATGTGGTTGTTTCTATAATTGTCACTTGCTCACCTTTCTAGTTTTGGTGAATCAGACTAATTGCCAGTAACAGGTTGTTTTATGTTCTTATTTCTTCCTTTTCTATTTATGCTGAGCATTTTTGTTTTCTTTTAATAGTACATATAGTTAGAGTTAATTATGGTTCCACAGACTTCTACTAGAGGGTATGCATGGGCAACATATTTAACGACTTCCTGCTGAAATTTAAGCAGGTTTCAGTCCAAATTAAATGGCTAATTCCAGATTTCCATGGAGTTGTTATTCCCCTTCCCCAAAGAAATCTGACCCTAGCGCTGAGTTGTTAAAATATTTTAGGATTTTAGAAGGTAAAATAGCTGCCTCTGAAACCATGTTTGTTTTACAATTTTCAGTGTCTAATACACTTAATTTGATGAAAGGGGTTTTCAGCCAAATTCCATGAAAATATCATAAATAAAATAACTTAGATCACAGTGAAAACTTTTTGTTGTAGTAATACATATTAACCCATGACATCAATTCAGACTTTTACAAACATTTTTGTGTGGGATTACTTTTTTAAAGACTACTCCCTCTAAAAAATAGGATAAGCTGAATTACAAGAGATTTTTCAAGCATGGTGCCAATTGAATGCAAAGTTTTCCTGTACACTGAGTGGTGAGTAAGCTTGACCAGCGACCGCTGAATACAGTAAGAGTTGGGCAGTTGTTTATTAATAGTACCACACACGCTCACTGTCACACAGTGGAGCTTTGTTAAAACCCATCAGCTACCCACGGTAGGATGTAAATCGCCCACATGTAATGAATCACTAAAATTCTGTTTCAACTTTTTAAAGCAAGCTTTAATGTGTTGATGCCACCATTAATGAGCTATATTTGCATAGAGAATTAATGAAATGAAGACTAATTAATTAATGTGCCACTTAATTCTGACTTTTGCCAATTTACAGTTAAGGTCATTATTTTATTGCATTTCGTGTCTTAATTAACCATTGCAAAGTGAGCCTAGGAGAAATATATCACTTATATATAAAAGGTAGCACAAAATAAGATAAAAATAAAATAGTAAGCATAGCAAAAATTACTCATTTTGATGTCAAGTAACTTTCTGTAACACTTTATTGATTTAGTCATCTTCAAGTTAAAAGGAAAACTTCACTTTTAAAACTTTTGCTATTTTTATGAGTACTTTCTACATGTTTTTTACTGCTTTAAAGGTACAGGGCTGGGGATGTAACTCAATGGTGCTGTGCCTGCCTGGCAAGCACAAACTACTGAGTTTGATCCCTGATACCAGAAAAAAAAAAAAAAAAGGTAGAAACTGTGGTCATGAGCAACAAGGAGGAACATTTTCTACAACTGAATTTACCTGTGAATTGATATCCACATAAAAACTTCTAACTTGAAGTAATGTCACAGAGAATATTCTGGAATCCACAGACTGTTATAAATTTTATATCAAATAATTGTATTTGTGAAATTATCATTATATATTGAACATCTTAAACATATTTTGCCAAGTTTCTGTATCTTTACAGATGCTAATAAAGTTCACTGTGGTTTTAGGTCATCTCTTTGAAGTACATGACAGGTCATTTATACAACTAAGTTAAAGAGAACATAAGTATCTGTTAGATGATTGTAAAGTATGGGGAAAGTCAGTTATGTAGTTGCTAATAAGTGTGAGAAATAGAGACAGTAACTTTGTATTTCATTGCAATACAAAATGTAACTATGATAAGTTTGCTTTCCCAGACTGATGAGGAAAGAAGTATTTGCAAAAATATCATCATCTATTAGGGTAGAGAAAAAATATGTTCTGAGACCTGGGCTGTAGAGTGGCCTGTTTGGTTCCCTGGGATAATTGCATGTTCCAGATTCCTTGCTGTGCGTGCCAGGGTGTTTTTGTGGCCAGGGTGTTCAGCAGTGGGTCTACCCCTGGTTGCATGCTACAGTCCCCCAGGGAGCATTTGATAAAGGTTTTCCCAGAGCACACCCGAGAGTCCCTAAGGATAGGGCTCACATATCTGTATTTTAAAAAATTACCTTCCTACTCCACTGATTTTCATGCTTAGTGACTAAGAGTAGAACAATCACTGGAAACCATTTGTTTTCACCTCTTGTGCTGCTAACTTCCTCATGGTATTCAAATGGCCTTCACATGTGAGTCTCATATTCCAATGCCCAGATGTAGAAGAGAGGTCAGAGAGGAAATCATGGAGGTGCACCATTCTGCTAGAAATAGGAAAGAAACACATACTGACTGCATGGAATAATTAAATCACATTCTAAAATTAAAGAGATTAAAGGCATAGTCTTATTTTTTGTTATATAAAAAATTGAATTCCTAAAATGTCTGTTTTTTTTTTTTTTAAAGAGGATGATGGATTAGGTCAATTAGAAACACGGTGAAGTAGGGGGTCAGAGCCCGTCAGAAGCCCACATTGTTCCAAGCTGTGTCCCCAACACCCATAGAGAACCTGGCCCATTTCAGGCACTCAGTGAACTGTTTTGAATGAAGAAATGAGTCTGTATTGAGAATGTAATCAGAGAAAAGAGAGTCCCTCTCTCGGAGTGCATGGGTGGTCTTTGATTTTACTATTAATAATGTATTATTAGCTATTAGCACTGTGTGTTATTGTGATGCTAAGAATGTTCTTTTTAAAAATTGCAAACACACTGTCACATACGTAGAAAGTGGCAGCCCGTCAGTCATCCTCACACTTGACCACTATGCTAACCACCTCTCTGTGCCTGACCTGAGAGACATGTGTGGAAAATGAAAACCAGGAGTGCTGCAGATGCACCCTTAGCAAAGTTGCCTGCTTTATTATCTACCTCATGACGGGCACCTAGTAAATGAATGTGGTGTGTCAGAGGGTTTCTTTCTGAATATTCATGCCCCCTGTTGACCGTTTTCTGCAAACACAGACATGTTTTATTTCTATTTAAATGTAGCCATGTTATTCTATGGCTTTGTTTTATTCTTAATGATATAACTCAAGTAATTTTCTACATCAGGACAAAGCTTTTTTCCCTCATTTTTTTTTCCCTAAAGAGGAGTTTGAAAGTATTCATGTAATGAATGATCCTTAAATAGCTACCCCTCTGTTGATGGGCATTTCTTTAGTTGCTTTGTTGTGTAGACCATATTTGAATCTTTCTGTAGAATAAATTTGTAGCAATTCCATATACTTAAAGCACATTTAATTGCTTAATCTGAAACCAGACTGCCTTTCAAAAAACCTTGGGTAGATTTATCCCACTCAAATAATAGTGTGTGATAATGGTCATTCCTACATCCTCATGAGACTGGGTACTATTAATCATTTTCTTTCTTTTGTTAAATCACATTTTATGGGTAAAATGATGATTTTTTTTTTTTTTTGGTACCAGAGATTGAACTCGAGTCTTTGTGCTTGCGCAGCAGGTGGTGAAACCACTGAGCTAAATCCCTGGCCCCTAAAATGATCATTTACTCTTATTTTATATTCATATTTGTGTACCTTCTGAACACTGGACTCAAATCTAAAATATTTAATATTTCAATCTAAATACCAGTTAATGTAATCTTTAAAATAAACTGTTCTGTTTCTATTTATATTTCTATGTTAAAATGTAATTTTGATAGTTAAGTCTCAAACTTTTCCTGTATATTATAAATTTATATAGCATTTGTATGAACTTTTAATTTGTTATAAAGCCTCACTAATATAACCATGCAGCAGGGGAAAACATTGTACTGGTGTTTTATTCTTCTCTTTATGAATAATTTATAAAAATAAATTTTAGATAGTGCTATAGATGGGTCAAATGTTCTGACTCTTTATGGTTCCTTTTTCCCCCCTGGTACCAGGAATTGAACTCAGGACCTTGTGCTTGCGAGGTAGGCGCAGTGCCACTGAGCTAAATCCCTGGCCCTCTTCATGGTTCTTGATAAGAATTGTTAAATTGCTTTATGTACATTAGTTATCTGGATTTAGCCATTCTGTAATGTGTACATATTTCAAAACACCCTGTTATACATGATGGAATATACAACATTTGTCATTTGAATGAATGAATGAATGATGAATGTATTAATAAAAAGATGATAGGTAAGTAGCTTTACAGAAATATCATATCAGCTTTTATGACCATCAAGAGTATATTGCCTTAACAGATTTTTGACTAATTTTCTGAAATATGTTAGATTTATTATTTTAAATTAAAAAACCCATATGTTTGCTTTCATAAATTTTAATTAGTAGACTATACACACACAGAATGGTGAGATATGTCTTTTATATTTTCTATTAAAATACTTTCTTCATAATGCTAGCAAATTAACAGGATTCAGAAAGAAATGTAATTTAAATATATACCATCATACACATCTCAATGGTAGTTAATTTTGATTTTCTTCTTCATACTTTTTTGTTTTTTCCTAATTAATCTCAGTGAGCAATATACTAAGATGAAATGTCCTCCACATATTCTTGAGATCAAAGGATCTGTTTCTTTCTTTTAGGAAATTTACCAGTGGTGTGGTTCCTCATGCAACAAATATGAGCGTCTGAAAGCAAGCCAGGTTGCCATTGGCATTCGAGACAATGAGAGGAAAGGAAGATCTCAGCTCATTGTGGTGGAAGAAGGAAGTGAACCTTTGGGACTTATTGAGGTACTGCAACTTGTGATGTTTGTTAAACTCCAAGCTGTGCCCATGCACGTGTGTGTGTGTGTGTGTGTGTGTGTGTGTGTGAGAGAGAGAGAGAGAGAGAGAGAGAGCTCATTTTTCTAATACTGAGCCTAAGGGGCAACATCAGGATTATGTAAGTCATGGTACGGAGGAACTGGAAAGCCATACCTGTTTCCTCTCATCATCTGTGTGACTATCGAAGGAAACCCTGACTGTCTTCTGGGGAGTATGAGGACAAACACATGGGTAACACTTTTGATCAGCTATAAGATACATTATGGAAGGAAGGTAATCTTTCACTCATTTGGTTTTCATGCACTGGTTTTCTTCAATTTAAAGATTAACACTGTTTCATTAAAGGAACGAAATAAAATCTAACACCAAGATATTAAATGCACAAATATTTTAAATATTTCAGTCAAGCCAAGAAGCTTGTCTTACAGAGAAGGCACTTATACTTTTACTATAGTTTGTAAATTAATGTGAAAATTAGATTTCTATAGTTCTATAGACCTACATCATTTACTAATCTTAAGACAATGAGTTGTGACCAGTCTTTCCTTTTTAAGAAAATTGCATTGACTACCTTAGTGTCCATACTGTATATATTCCCTTAAGATTATCAAAGGCTATAATCATACTCACAGGTCTTGATTTAGGTTGGCAAATTTACTCCCCTTTTTGCACTCAACAAATATTTGTTGAACTCCTGTGGTGCACCAGGCACTAAATATTTGCACCAAGTGTCAATTCCTTGCACAAGCACTGTATTCTATCACGACCTTGTAGAGCTTTGTCAGGATTTATTACTGTAATGCTTTTAATCTTATGCATTTAACAGTGGTAGGTAGTTTTGTTTTGAGCTTCATTTCTCTAATTTCCTGGATTATGAGTTTCCCCCCAATGACTTTTAGCTGTTACTATTAAAATTTTTAAAATTTTTCTAAAGATTCTCTTGTAAATACACTTTTAGTGTTTTTGACTTAGAGCAATTTAATGCCTTAGAGTTAATGCCTTAGTTACATGGTATATTGCAAACATAAAATAAAGTTTAAATATATTACAGTGATTCAGTGATCAAAAATTATATGAGATAGTTTTATTCATTGTAACATCTTTAACCTTTATTTCTTTAACAACCCTTGGATACAGGCTTTTACATTAATGATGTTTTAGAAATAATTTTAATTCAGTGGGGAAAATGCTTGTATAATGCTAAAAGATAGTTTATAACATTTTATATACACTGTTATCTTTTTTCTTTTTTTTCGGTACTGGGGATTAAACTTGGGACCTTGTGCTTGTGAGGCAGGTGCCGGAACCACTGAGCTAAATCCCCGGCCCCACTGTTATCTTAATATAGAAGTTTATATGTATGTAGCTATCTATTGAGATGTACTGTACCTATATATGGAAAGAGGGTGAAATATTACCAGTATTATCTTGGAATGTGGCTGATTTTCATTTTCTTCCTTGTTTGTCCTTATTTTTCCAAAATGTACTATAATGGACATATATTAGTCCTTTTATGAGCAGAAAAAAGCCGTTAAAAATAAAATCAAATTAAAGATAGTTTTCCTGGCTTTTCAATAGTTAGAATAACCCTGTTAATAAATGAGACTTTGAAAATTCTTTGAAACAAATTCTTTATTTTTTTTTGTTACCGGGATTGAACTCGGGACCTTGCACTTTCGAGGCAGGTGGCAGAATCCCTGGCCCTCAAATTCTTGATTCTTAATATTCTTTTGGGGTCCCTTAAATATGACTAACCATTTATGTCTTCTAACTTGCATGTTTGGAGGCAAGATACATTTCTTTCTCCCCTTCCCTCTTCTCTGTCTCTCTTCTTCTCTCTCTCTCTCTCTTTCCCTCCCTCCCTCCTTTACTTTTTTTGTGGTACTAGAGATTAAACCCAAGGAGTGCTGAGCAAGATCTCTAGGACTTTTTGTTTTTTTTATTTTGAGACAGCGTCTCCCTAAATTGACCAGGCTGACCTCAAACTTGTAATCTTTCTGCCTCAGCCTCCCAAATAACTGAGATTGCAGGTGTGTGCTAACATGGCCAGCTAAGGTATATTTCTACTGGATGGTAACCCCTTGTTTCAGCAGCCATAGGGCGGCTCCTTTTATCCAGGGGGATGCTTTCCAACATCCGTCCTAGAAGTCTGAAACCATGAATGGAAACAACCCTTTATATTTCATGTTTTTTTCGGACATATACACACCTACGATAAAGTTCAATTTGTAAATTACTTAACGTAAGAGATTAATGATAATAAAAGAGAACAGTTATAACAATATACTGCAGTAAAAGTTGACTGTGGTCTCTCCCTGAGAGCATGGAATTTTCCATGTAATATTTTTGGACTGGCTTGTCCTTCGGTAACTGAAGCCTCAGAGAGGGAAACCATGAATGAGGAGGCTGCTGTGCTTTGGAGGAAGCAGAGCCAGAACAGGGACTCTCCATGTGGAGCTGGAAGAGGGACTCCCATTAATGGCCGCCAGGCCTCAACACTGTCCCATGGATTGTGGGCCCAGAGTGAATCCCCTAACTTCTCATTGTCTCTGCTTCCCCATTCACAAAGGAAGGCTTAGACCAAGTGGCCTCTGTGGTCCCGTTGGCTCTGATGATCTGAGACTCTGTTGATCCCTTGGAGAGTAGCTGTGTTTATTTCCAAATCTCTTGACACTTGAAGTCTGTTTCTCGAAGTGAGGCCACTTGGGCGGAGGGGCTTAGCTGTGTGTGCCCACAGTTGGGGACCTTGCTTATGGATCTCATTCAGAGTTCTGAAAAATAAGATGGGAAAGTCAGTCAATACATTATAGTATATTATATTAAAATTTAATAAGAGGATCAGGAGATGGAGAGAGAGGAAGGGAAGTAAAAAGAATTAACATGTATTATGCACCTATATCAATCCCTCATGATGAATGTGATCATTATGTACTTTAAACTTGGACTAATAAATTTTTTTTTTTTGTACCGGGGATCGAACTCGGGACAGTGCACTTGCGAGGCAGGCAGTGGAACCACTGAGCTAAATCCCCGGCCCCCATTTGTTATATTTAAAAAAATTTTTTATTAGGGGCTGGGGATTTAGCTCAGTGGTTCTGCCACCTGCTTTGCAAGCACAAGGTCCTGAGTTCGATCCCTGGTACCAAAAATATATATATATATATATATATATATATATATGTATGTATGTATATGTAACAAATGGGAATATAAAGAAAAAGATGTGTAAAAGTACAACTTTAAAAATATTAGAGCTAGAATGAAAGGACCTAGTATTTCAGTGTCCTATGCAGCAGGGACTTCTTGTTTGGAGTTTTAAAAAATCTACTGTGTTTCCATTTAATACATTTCAGCATCTCCATTTAATCAGGACCGTGTTACATTTGGCAGCTCTTGCACACACAGTAAACTAAAATGAATTTTCAGTGAGTGCCTTCCTTAGATAAGAGAAAGAAGCACTCTATGGCCTTTTTGTTGTTGTAAATACTTGGTAGCCTGATTACAGAGGTATGAGGTTATTTGATGAATTAACCTATGGTCAACTAACTTGACTTCTAGGTTTTCTTAGTGCTATAAGTGTAAGGACAGAATTCAAAGAAGTCCCAACTGGGAAAAATTGCAACTTTATTTTCAAAATTTTTTAAAGTATAATGTTGCATTTCCTCCAATTTCAAATGTAATAATAATAAAAAAACCACCAGACTTTTTGGATCACAATTTAGTGATTTTTTTTTTGGAATCACAATCGAGTTACTCTAGATAACCTCAAGATATTTACGCTCATCATCGCTTAGTAACTTATCACAATTATGAAATCTGCTACTCATTAATATTATTTGACAAGTTGAGAAACTCATATATTACTTTATCAAGTTTCTTAAAAATGTGTTTTGATACTTGTATTCCAGTATAATTGGTTTCTGTTGTTAATACCTTTTATTTTCCTTTGTGCATTTAAAGACACTTTTCTTAAGAAAGGCCCAGTAGGCTTCATAAGTGGTCCATAGTGTGTACATACACACACCATATACTCACAAACAGTGCCCTTGTTTAAGGTAATGAAATGTTATTTCTTTTTCTGAGACCTTAGGTAACTGGTGTTTTTGCTAGAAAAGTCTAAACATCTTTCCAAAGTTTTAAAAAATTTGTGGACTTTCAAGTGATTAGTAATGAGGATTTATCTTTAATTTGAAGCATTTCAGCTGTTTGCTGATCATATTATTATTATTATTTTCACATGATCTTAGTATAGCTTATCTCTGGGGTTTCTATAAATTTACCCTTCAAACCAAAACACTTTATAGGGTGAAACCAGCATGAATGGGCTAGGACTGGGAAACAACAGAAGTAACAAGGCTGTGTGGGTAAAGAGGATGTGCGCCTCTGAACTGCATCTTTAGCACTCTCCAAACTGTGAAAATAATCCTGTACAGGGTGTTGAACTAAAGCCTTTAAAGTCATGTTTCACTCTGTGCTTTTTTTCTTTGCTATACATGTATTTACTCTGAAATTTTTCACATAAATTATGTAAAACCCCTTCAAAGTCTTTTTTTTTATATTTAAACCCATCAATGGATGTAAAGGAAAATTAAATATCTCATTAGCCCTAAAGTCCCAAATTTTATTCTTTAAACATTAGCAGGGAAACTGAAAGATCCCCTAAGAAAAAAGAAATTTAGCTTATTACAGACTTTCAGTTTTTAGAAGATAGCATCAGTTGTATGTAAGCAAATAAAGATGGGGCAAGTTGTTTAAAACTGTAACAAAAAACCAAGTTTTCTAATCCAAAAAGACTTTAAAAAATAAAATGAACTTGCTAAGGGTGTAATCATCATAGATGGTGATGACAGACACTGGGACTAAAAGGACCACAGGGAGGTGGTGAGCAGATGTCATGTTGCTGAGCCATTAGGTTTCTTGCTGTTAGGAAAACACTTTCATGTTGCCCTGAAGAGTTATGTGTGAGG